GCCAGATGCCTGCAGCAGCAGGTTTGGAAAAGGATTCGGTATCCCACACAGCAAAGCTTGTTTGCCAGTCTTGTTCAGCAGCTTCAGACAATATCCATCAAGCAGATCTATTCCTAAAATAGACTTCTGCAAACCAGCACGCTCTTATTCCAGAAAGTTTAGAAACAGTAAGAGCACCCATGTTTTCAAACCTCGCCTTTATTACAGGCTTTTCCTTTCAAGCAGCAGGGAAACTCATTCTCTTTCAGGTAACTGTTTGATATGAGACTGTTCTTTTCAAGTCAGGTGCACACAGCTCAGCACTTAATGGGAAGTCTCGGAGTCAAAACAGATGAGAGATTAAATAGCGTACGTTTGCTTTGCTCACTCGTTTTTACAGACAAGCATTAATACTTTTCCTTATCTCCCATGATGAGCATACTGTAGTCTAAGTTTCAGTTACTCAGAATTTCACTATAGCACCTATCGAACGTAACCTGAAACCACTTAAAAGAGTTTGAGGGCTCAGCTTGTAGTTGAGGCTACTGAAATTTTGCTTGTGTATCAAAATGGTTTACGTCAACTTAATTACGAGATACGGCCAGATGGTCTGCCATCCTGCTCACACGGTGCTGGATAAGCACGCTGATCCAATTGAACACACTCTTTTGGGGAGGTTCAACTTGATTTAGCACTACCGTAACTGTGTGTCATCCCAAGGGGACAAAAGAAACAAGTAGTTGAGAACTGATTTGCTCCTTTGACATGTGAAACGAGACAACTGTGCTGCCATCAAGTCTGAATTCCAAGCTCTGTGTGGCTGAAAAGGAACGGTTTTCTTACACTTCCACATTTTTAAGCTGTGTGTAACCCAGACAATTTGGGTAATAGCCTTCCAAATACAGTGCGACAGATGAGTTTAACACCCTTATGCCAAAGCCTGGTGGATCATGTGCCACACGTATCCGAAGACCAGGCAGGAAGGCGGGGAGAGGCAGACTTCAGGGGAACGGAGCAACTCTCAGAAGTTTCTTAAGTTCTAGATTCTGTGCTCTATTATAACAAGAACTTTTACATCCCTAGATTATTAGATGTTGACAAAAATTAAAAGAAAAAAACCCTACATTAGTTACAACAATTAACTACAATAACTACATTAACTACAATAATTAACTACTCGTTAACTAAATAATAATTAGCTACTGGGTTGGCATTTTTGTAAAGCATGCCATTACAACATGCGTTTTGCTCCCTGAATGACAAGGGATTAGGATTCCTTACAGAATTCAGAAAGCAGTTCTTTTACAGATCCTCTCTCCCCTTTCCTTGCAAAGGGCACAATTTGGCATCACTGGAAGTTTACGTTTTAAGCATTCCAGGTAAAATATTCCCAATGTGGAACTACACTGAGATCGCAGTCTAGTATAAGGGTACCAAAATACTGGGTCGCAGTAGGCTGCAGGTAGAATTCTTCCCCCCCAGGCAAGCTTAAATCAGATGCATAATACAAAAGAACGACAGTGTTAACAATACTGCATCAACATTTAGTGATTTCAAGCTAGATGTGAGTATTCTGAATTTACCTTCACATTCAAATTTCTCTCCGGGTATACCAACTTTTTAACGTCTGCCTAATGTTCTTGTGCATTTAGACCGTAAATTCTTTGGTGACTAGACTTACATTCCTCATTTGCTGGCAACTGGTATTATAAAGGCTTTAGTCCATGCCTCTCCATTACTATTTACATGGACTAAAGCAGTTCATGACAAAAAATATTCTGATAGAACGGAATGCATTTAAAGCCACAATTTAATTTCTAGTCTTGCAAATGTAATCAATACTCATACTTCTTACTGCTGCAGTTGCTGGTCACCTGACCTCGTGTGTCATATCCAACAACAAAGCCTCTCTGCTTAAAGTCTGAAAAACACCTCTCAAGATACTTGTAGATCCCCTGGAAAGAAAAAAAAAAGAAGAAAAAAAAAGTAGGGAAGAATTAGCTCTAGTGCAGCACACACAAACATTAAAAATGATCTCTCACATAGGATGTATAATGTCAGTAGGCAAAATACAGCTCAGCAAAGAAGTCAATACTAATATTCACAAAAGCAGCATATTTCTTTTTCCCCAAAGTGTTCACGGAAAGAAAGTAAACCGAGAAATGTTGTGGGAAATAAAACCGCTACAACAATAAGTGACCAAACAGCATAAACAGAAAGCTCGAGCCAGAAAAATCCTCAAGCAGCAGACACTTGTTTCCAATCCGTACTGTGCTTTTATGTATTCAAACCATCTTAACAACCCAATTGAGAAAAATCCATTATTTTGAAAGTCCGTGCACTCAGGCAACATAAGGCTCGTGCAAGTCAGCGCTGGTCTTTATCCTTGTGTTCACAGTACAGGTCAGACTGTTTCAGCACTGCTTCCAATGTGTTAGTTCTAAATTCGCATTAAAAGGATGCTTCATCCGTACCCGCTTTTTCAAACAGAAGTTTATTACTAGTGACCTGCTCCAGGTAGACAGATTAAAGTCCTCGATGTATATACTATGCAGGTACAATAGCACAAGTACAAGCTGTCTTCTATACATCAAGGCAGAACACGTCCAATGGCAAGGTATCAGAGAAGGCCCCGTGCAGGGAGAAGAAAGGGGAGCAGATGAAGGGAGTAAATTTTTAAAACACTTTGGGGGTGAGGAGAAACATGCGCTGAAGCGTACACAGGAGAAAAACAAACAGCCCCTCAGTCAGCCACCCCTTCTTTTCAAAACAGGGGATAGGTGCTCTTGGAAATAGTGCATTACATGGTGTTCCAGCTTCGCCTTCCCTGCGGCCTTCACATCCATTCATTTCCCAGTTAGAATCTCTCTGGAGATCCATCACAGAAACAACCCAGGATGGATCAGCGGTTTTAGACAAAAAGATGGAAGCACTATTGGTAATGGAAGTTTCCAGAGGCCACTGTTCACTGCGATCAGAAAGCAGCCTTCCCCAACACAAGCGCAGCACCGTGAGCCTACCACAACCAAGCTGACCCTAAAAAAAGCTACCTCTTATGAGGGTCCAAGTTTCCTCTTGACAGGAGTGGGGATGTTTTGTACTAGAGCTAAACAGGCTTTCCCCCCAGTATTAACTGCAATTCTTTGCAATGTTCTTATCTGGATCTGACTCGCTATCGCCAACAAGCAGTCTCTCAGCTGGAAAGCTGGCCTGACTCCTACTCATGAAATTCAGTTGAGCTCAATTTTTTTAACGGTTCTTGCCCTTTCCACCAAAGAATGTGCTTCAAAGCACGGACAAGCGGATACTGGCATCTCTTTGGAGAACTATTTCAGCTGCAGATGTAGTGTGTCTATAGGGGGATTCACAGAGAGAGAAAAAGTTTAAAATAAATAAAAAGCTTGGAACACTGACAGGACTGGAAGCTGTGCCACGGCACGATCGCCAGCTGAAGTCACCTTCACACCGAACTGAACTGTGTGGATACACAAACATGTTCACACCGCCCTGACAACTTATCAAGAACTTTCATTCACAGTTGTAAAGAGATAAGAGAGAGAGAGAGAGGAATGGGGAAAGTTCAAGTTTGACTAGAACAGATTGAATAACATTTAAAGAGATGAACAGCAGATTTCTTATCAACAGATCCCTTGTTTAGGCTAGCGGTATCTTGAGGTCAGAGCACATTGCAGAGTTTTATCTGAACTAGTTCCTCAAACATCAACAAACTGCACAAAAGGCAAAATTTACAGAAGAGGCAGGACCATGTCAGACAAACTGGTACTAGCTAGATGCAGAAAACAAACGGGCATATAAACTTTCTCAGAAGCAGCATGAATCAAGGTAAGTTCAGATAGAACAACTAATACTCCTGTCCGCATAAAGTCATTACATTACAAACCACTCTTTACAGATGTAAAGCTGTTACATACGATTTCTACTTCACACCTACCCCCAGCAGCTCTCCCTCGACAGCAGAGGCATCGCTCGAACCTCCTGGCAACTCTGGCACCTCCAGGATTCTGCGCATCCAATTCCCCCCTCACCCCTTACTTCCCAATGACAACCATCACGCTGCTTTGCCTTTTTGGCTCTAATGCCTGCACTCTCGTACATCTCCCAGCTTTGCATTCCCTCATTCTGCAAACACAGAAGAACTGATTGATTTTTGTTGCAAAGCAAGGGCCTATACTGATCTTTTTAGTAGACCGGATCTGCCGTACTTTCTCCCTTACACCTCGTGCCAGCTATTTCTGCCTGAGCATTTTGGCAGCTATGGGTGGGGTGCCGCTACAATCTAAATAACGCTCTCCTCAAGGGTGAGGCGAGATTTTTCCTAGGACACACTCTTGAACCAGCTTCGCTGTTCGACAAGGATCAAAGATTTCATATGAGTAAAAATAGCAATGTCTTTACTTTCTGTCTTTACTTTCTGCCACGGAGAAGTTTTGATTAAAATTAAGACACAATGCGATATGCTATACAAGAACAAAATACTTGAAGCTTAGCCAAAGATCCAACAGCTGAAATTAGTCCAGCCCTAGTGGACTTGTTTACTATCCAAATACCTTTATTAAAGCTAATTGAAGATATCCACGTCAATATCTTGCCATTACATACTTGGTGATAATTCATAACTTATTAGCAAGTGTCAGCGTACAAATGTGCAACCGCCTCAGTGGACCTAAAACAAAATTCTCTTTAGGTGCACTGAAGCATTACAAATATTTACACCTCTGCACAGCTCAGGTGATTTCCCTATATAAAATTCACGGGCAGATCTAGTCTGCTTCTACAGCCACGTTTTAAATAATCCTCTTGCACGTGATGGTATCAAGAATGGGGTGGAAAGATTTTTGGTTGATGTAATCAAGAGAGATAGTAACAGCTTTATGAAGTCCAGTATTTAAATCTTTCAACTATTATCTTTAGCTTTGCTTATATAGCAACAGGAAACTCGCAGCAATGATGCAAAGAGGACTGGTTTTGTCATGGTGGAGGCCAGTGATGGGTCACTTACCCCTCAGTAAAAGCACTTGCTTCAGCA